GGGGGCCCTGCGGATGCTGAGCCAGCTCGAGGCCATCCGGGGGGCCCTGGGGGGCCGAGCGGCGCCGCTGGAGCGGCTGCTGGAGAGGGGCCGGGAGCTGCTGGAGCTGGGGGAGCCGGGGGAGGACGAGGGAGCCGCCGATGGAGCCGGGGGAAATGTGGAATCTGCTGCTGGGTCGGTGGGACCCGCCACGGGATTGACGGGATCCGCCGCTGGAGCAGCGGGGAGCGTGGAATCCATGGAATTCACCCCTGGATCTGTGGGATCCACCGCCGGAGCAGTAGGGAGTGCAGAATTCACCCCTGGATCGATGGGATCTGCCACCGGAGCAGCAGGGAGCAAGGAACCCATGGAATTCACCCCTGGATCCACGGGATCCACCACCAGAGCAGCAGGAAGTGCAGAACCCATGGAACTCACCCCTGGATCTGCGGGATCCGCCACCAGAGCAGCGAGGAGCGTGGAACCCATGGAACTCACCCCTGGATCTGCGGGACCCCCCGCCGAAGATACGGAATCCGAGCCCACATCCGTGGAAGCCCCCGGTGACCCCCCTGACCCCGTGTCCCTGGTGCGGCGGCGGCTGCGGGCGCTGCGGTCGCTCTGGTCGGCGCTGCCGGCGCTGGCCCGGGAGCGGGAGCGGCGGCTCCGGGCGGCCCTGGGGCGCTTCCAGGTGGCCTCGGAGGCGGCCGAGGCCGAGGCGTGGCTGGCGGCCGCATGCCGGCGGCTGGAGCGGGGCCACCACGACGACGAGGATGATGAGGACGACGAGCGCTCGGCCGCGGTGCTGGAGCGGCGGCTGCGGGAGCTGCAGGAGGAGCTGCGGCGCCGCGGGACGGCCCTGGCGGCGCTGCGGGAGCAGGCGGGGACCGATCCCGGTGCTGATCCCGAGGTGGTGCCGGGGCTGCCGGCGCGGCTGGAGGAGCTGGAGCGGCGGCACCGGGAGCTGGAGGCGCGGGTGGAAGGACGGCGCCGGGAGCTGCGGGACCTGCTGGCGCTGCTGGCGGCGCGGGGGGAGGCCGACGCCTGCGGCCTCTGGGTGGGAGAGAGGGAGCAGTGGCTGCTCTCCATGGAGATCCCCGAGCGCATCGAGGACCTGGAGGTGGTGCAGCAGCGGTGAGCAGGGATGGGGCGGGTCCCGCTTTTGGAATTCCGTATGGATCCCGGGAATGTTCTGGGGAAGGCTGGAGGGGTCACGGTTCCCCCCTGCTGGAATATTCCTGGTTATCCAATGTGCATCCCGGGAATACCCCAAGAACAGAGAACCGTTCAGTATTCCCATTATTCCCAGTGTTCCCTGAATTCCCACCTCTGCCACACTATTCACGGCATTCCCGGTGTTCCCATCGTTCCCAGAATTCTCACCTCCTGTGTGCTATTCCCTGTATTCCCAATATTCTCCGAATTCCCTCCTTGATCTGGCGTTCCCGGTGTTCCCGGAATTCCCATCTCCAACACAGTATTTCCAATATTCCCCGTGCTCCTGGGATATTCCCTAAATCCCAACATCCAGCGCAGCATTCCCGGTGTTTTTGGTGCTCCCTGGGTTCCCACCCCTGCCATGGCGTTCCCGGTGTTCCCAGAGCTCCCAGCATTCCCGGGATTCCCGCAGGTTCGAGACGCTGGAGCCGGAGTTGGCGGCCTTGGGCGCCCGAGTCGCCGCCGTCGGTCGCGCGGCCGAGGAGCTCCAGGGATCCGGGGAACGGACCCGGGAGAGGGCCCGGGACACCTGGGAACAGCTCCGGGACAGGTGCGGGGTCACTCCGGGCAGGGATGTTCCAGGCAGGGATGTTCCAGGCTGGGACGATGCTCCAAGGATGCAGGGAGGGCTTTTCCAGGCGGGCAGGGAGGGAAGCTCCAGGCTGGGCTGGGATGTCCCAGGATAAGATGGATTCTCCAGGCAGGGGTGGGATGTTCCAGGCAGGGACAGATGCTCCGGGGAGACAGGGATGGGTTCTCCAGGCAGGCAGGAATGTTGTAGGCAGGGATGGGTTTCCCAAACGTGGAGGGGTTCTCCAGACTGGGATGGGTTCCCAGACAGGGATGGATTCTCCAGGCTGGGATGGGTTCTCCAGGTTGAGATGCTCTGTGGGTGCAGGGACGGGTTCTCCAGACCTGGGTGGGTTCTCCAGACCTGGATGGGTTCTCCAGGCAGTCTGGGATGGGTTCTCCAGACCTGGGTGGGTTCTCCAGGCTGGGATTGGTTCTCCAGACCTGGGTGGGTTCTCCAGACCTGGATGGGTTCTTCAGACTGGGATGGGTTCTCCAGACCCGGGATGGATTCTCCAGGCAGTCTGGGATGGGTTCTCCAGACCCGGGTGGGTTCTCCAGACCCGGGTGGGTTCTCCATGCATCCCGTGACGCTCCGGTCTCTCCCATACCCTGTCCCACCTCCCTCCCTGTGCCCCCCCCGTTCCAGGTGGGAGCGTTTCCGCGCCCTGACCGAGCAGAAGAAGGCGGCTCTGACCTCGGCCCTGGACATCCAGAACTTCCGCCTGGAGTGCGACGAGACGCGGGGCTGGATGCGGGAGAAGGCGGCGGCCATCGAGGCCGCGGGGCGGGCGCCGGGCCGGGACCCGGCGGGGCTGGCGGCTCTGCAGCGGCGGCTCTCGGGGCTGGGCCGCGACCTGGAGGCCATCGAGGGCAAGCAGCGGGAGCTGCGGGCGCAGGGCGAGCGCCTGGCGCGGGAGCAGCCGGAGCGGGGCCCCGAGGCGCGGGAGCGGCTGCGGGCGCTGGAGGCCGAGTGGGCCGCGCTCGGCCGCTGCCTGCGGGGCCGCCGGGACGCCCTGGGGCAGGCGAGGAGGCTCCAGGCCTTCCTGCGGGACCTGGCGGCGCTCCGGGCCTGGCTGGAGAGGGCGAGGGAGGCCGCGGGATCCGAGGACGTGCCGGCGTCGCTGGAGGAGGCCGAGGGGGCCCTGAGGAGCCACGAGAGCCTCCGCACCGAGATGGGCCAGTACGGAGCCGATTACCGGAGCGCCCGCGCCGCCGGCCGGGAGCTGAGCCAGGGCCGGAGCGACCCCCAGAGCCTGTCCCTGCTCCAGAGGCTGGAGGCGCTGGACGGGGACTGGGAGGAGCTGGGAAGGGCCTGGGAGAGGCGGCAGCAGCTCCTGGCCCGGGCCGTGGCCGTCCACGCGTTCCTGAGGGACGCCAAGCAGGTGGAGGGGACGCTCAGGAAGCAGGTGAGGGGGGGGGAATGGTGGGTTGGGGGTGGCCCGGGTGTGATCCCGGTCCTGACCCCAGTTCTGACCCTGATCCTGATCATGACCCCGATCCCGATCATGACCCCGATCCCAACCCTAACCCCAATCCTGACCCTGATCCTGATCTCAACCCTAACCCCAATTCCAACCCTGATCCTGACTCTGATCCTGATCCCAATCCTGATCCCGATCCCAACCCCGATCCCAATCCTGATCCTGATCCTGATCCTAATCCTGACCCCGATCCTGATTCCTGATCCTGACCCTGATCCTGATCCCAATCCTGATCGTGACCCTGATCCCATCCCCGATCCTGACCCTGATCCTGATTCCTGATCCTGATCCTGATCCCGATCCTGACCCTGATCCTGATCCCAATCCTGATCGTGACCCCGATCCCAACCCCGATCCTGACCCTGATCCTGATCCTGATCCCAATCCTGATCCTGACCCTGATCCCGATCCCAACCTTGATCCTGACTCTGATCCTGCTCCCAATCCTGATCCCGACCCTAACCCCGATCCC